CACAGCACTGGTAAAGCCTGTTGACACGGGCAATGTCATAGTAACTCATCTGTGTTGCAAACCCAAGCAGAGCGTTAGGATTGCTCTTGGCGGTGAGGGTTGGGTACCCGTTTCTGGAGAAGTAATAGCTGGAGGCGACCACAGACAGAACATTTTGGCTTATAGATGTGTACAGTCACAATCACAAGCGCACACTGGCCTCTGAACATTCTTGTGTTTTTCGCAACAATGCAACTGTAAATCAGATATTTCCTTCAGTTCATGCTGACTCTCAGAGACAACACACTTTAACAGTCCCCTGCAGTCTGTACTTGAACTTAAGTGTAAGTGGCCCATAGCAACAAAAAAAGAAAAGGTGAGAACAGATTCAATAAAACAGGAATAAAATAAAAAAAGAATTTTGTTACATGATATCATTTTATCTGTGCTTTAAGAAACACCTTTCCTTCAACACAAACACTGTGACACACTTACTTGTTGACGTGCAGGACAGAGTAGAAGTCGTAGGGAGTACCCAGGTTGTTAGTCGCAATCTTCACGAAGTTTCCTTCCGTTCCTGCATAGGGAGATCAGACCAAAATATTTAAACACAGGATTTATATTTTCTCCTCTTTTGTCCTTTAGTCGCAACAAACTAAACTCTGCACCTTCCTGTCTCATTTCTAAATGGAAATATAATCAATCTGGATGTCTGCTTCTACGATAGCCACAACAGCTGTGGAAGCTCATTATTAACTTTTGCCAGTATTGTCAAAATTCACAGCACTGGAGTGAAATTTAAATTCTGAAATCAAACCTCAGCAATAACATAAAACTCTGTTGCTTCATCCTATGTAAAACTTGTATCTGAAACACAACGTCTGCTTTTTAGTCATGCCAGCAGTGTCAGGGTGTCGGCCCACCAGTCAGACCAGTCTGATCCACACCGAAAGATCTTAACAACTGTAGAACAGACTGCTGTGAAAGCTGGTCAGAATATCCATAATGCACAGAGGATGAATCCTAGTTAGTCTGGTGATGAAGCTGTCACTTAATCAGTGACATTTGCCAACATCTGTGAGATTGTTTGGCACAACATTTAATGCAGACATTGCTGGTTCAGAGACGATTCCTTGGTTGGAAATCATACGCTATCATCACATCCTCATAAATGTATAACACACAAACCAGAACAAAATAAAGGTTTTCGTGAGTGAGCTGACCTGGCTGAATGTTCTGCGAGTTGATGTTGATGTACGAGTCTCTGTCAGAGCGAACATGCTCATGGTGGAAGCCAAGAGCATGGAGAGTCTCGTGCTGCACCATGTTATAGTACACACAACCATTTTTCTGCAGGGAGACTGGCTGTATACCTCCCAGACGGCCCAGGTAGGACCAGCAGCTGACACACAAACACACAAAGTAAGATCACCACAC